GTTGGGGGTTTGGTAGCTTTTTAAAATACTTCAACTTGATGATTGTTGCGTCCAGTTGTCCACGCTGTACAAACTGGATTAGTGGGTTTTATTCTTAACAGTACTGCGTTGCCCATTGCTTCGTAGTCAAAGCCTATCACGCTTTTATTGCCCATTGGGATTTATTATTATAAGTTCCCCACATGTTCTTTAATTTTTGGAGTAACGGATGGCTTACGCCAATGATTATAGTATGTATCAGTTTCTTCATAATGTGTCGCATAGAGGATGGACAGCCTGTTTAGTGCGAGAATGAGGAAGATGTATGTCCATAAATTATATTTGAGATTACACCAAATGTGGAACTGTTCCTCACTCTCTCACCAACGATCCTCCCTGTTAGACTATCATTTAAGCATTATTAATTATTCCGGTAACAAATGATTTTTCACAGTAAACGCCGAGTGCAACAAATAGTCTAAAGGAACAGCCAAACGAAGACCTCAGTGTAGACAATCATGGTGCTCACACATTTTCTTTTGTGAAATTGCGCTAAGCCTATTTTATTACCGTAGGCATTGAAGTGCAGAGACTAACAGTTTCATTAAGAATCCTTTTAAACACAATTCCCAGGAGCAATTAGAGTCCGTTTGAGAACTACAGGTGACTGAAAACCACATGTCTCAGTGTGATTAGCACAGCTGATACGAACGACTATTAAGCAATGTCCACATGCAAATAGTTCCGAAATAAACCGAGCCATTTATTGTGCACGTTTATGCATACAAGATAATTAGTTTTAACTGCGGTCTCATTACTTGCACTTCTGTGTGAAGTCTTAAATATAACCGACACTGATTACCTTAGATACTTACTGGACGTAAATGCCGCAATAACCAGTCAGGATTTCAAGCAAGTACAAAATTACCTTCGAAAAAGTAATTGGTTGGATATATTGACTTACGGCATTGTGATGAATAGGATTTTGCATAAATGCTCAAACGAGACAGCTAGAGTGCAAAATGACGTATTTTTTCATGCTGGCATTATTTATTCCAAGCGCGCTTGCCTGTATATGTGAGAATCTAACATTGCAAGCTACAAGCATTCATTGCACACAGCAGTTGACTAAATCACAGACGGTTCGCATGGGATAGGGGATAACACGATTAAAATTCATTCGCATTGATTACTTCCCCAGAAAAGAACACCAGGTTTGGTTGACTTGCAGTTTGCATGGTCATATACACTGGCGAGCGAGGAAACTAGGGAGAGAAACGCGTTCAGATTCCAGTAGAGTTGAGATAATGGGTGGTGTTTGACTTTTCTTCTTATATTATAGGTCGTGATTGAATGAATATATGTATTGTTTCTAGCCTCAAGCGCCTCCAAATTTTGTTAATGCATTATTTTTAGCTTTTCAGGGAAAACGCGAATGCCCTCGCTTTGACAACCAAACAACCATAGAGGAGATGGTCAAAGGACTTTTGACTTGGAGAGCAACACCTCTTCGTCACCTTATGATTGGAAGAAAAAGATGCCAATTTCAACTAAAAAAAGTCGATATTAACTCAGTTACAGACTGTGTCTGCATTGATGCCCTGAAAGAAAATCTACTTTTCCGATGTAAGGCTCGATTATCAGTCCTCCAGATTACTGTGGTAAGTACGATGAGCTTGTTCCCTGGTCACTACATACATTCAGTTAAGGATAAAAAAAGTCAGCTTGCTCACTGACTTGGCTTAAGCGAGTTATTATTTTCGAACATTTAAATTGTTTTAAAATTCACTCCCAATATGAACTAAAATATTCTAAGCTGGACATAAAATGTCGTGATACGAAATACTTCACTGTACACCAGTTATCAAGAACTCAAGGAGACCGATCTATATATAAATTCGAATATAAGTAATTAGTAACTTCATCCGCCAGATAACGATCTGATGAATAGTATACAGGTTGATTAGGCATACGTGCCCCAGTATTCAGCCC